ATAAAAAAAAAAAAAAAAGAAAATGTAATGTGGAATTCATTGCAAGCCAGTAAGAGACTTATGATAAAGATCTCTAGCACTCTTTGCTGAGCATTATGCACAGTTGTAAAAGACTCTGGCATGCTACTGAGACCTGAGCAGCAGTCAATCAGAAGGAGAACTTGGACCTTCAGGATCAGGCACAAGCAGGACCACTGGGCTCCAAGACACTGTGCGTGCAGGGGTCCAGACCCCAGGATACTGCAGTAATGCTACCTCTCCTTGGACTGACAACCATGGCCCTGGGGTAGAAGTGGCAGGGCTGGGGGATTCTTCGGGGCCTTGTGAGAGATTCTAGCTTTTGCATAATAGAGATTGCTAAGCATGTGAGTTCAAATCCCAAACAGATGGCTACCGTACACGCTCTCGTGTTGGAAGGGAGTGGTGAGGAAAACCCCTCACAAAGAGAGGAACTTTAGGCAATGTGCTTACTATGAAACAAGTTTTAGGAAGTGGGGGCTTTTCAGAGGCGATTAGACCATGAACTGGAATGAAGAGCACGAAAAGAGAAAATCTAGAAAATTGAGGACTAGCAAGACAGGGACATCTAAGCGCAGGGGCTGGGGGTTTGTTGGGGGTTTGTTCCCCAGGCCTATCGGGCCAGGCCCAGTCTGGGGGCATGCTGAGACTGGGCATGGTGATGCCCGCCCCTGTAATCCCAGCTCTTGGGAGGCTGTTAACAGGCAGATCACTATGAGTCTGATCTAGTACTGAGACCCTGAACACCCTGTAGGCCCTTCTCTAAAATTAAAAAAAAAAAAAAAAAGACAGTGACATCTACAGAGAAGGCACATAGGTACACCTATGGGAAGGAGTGTGAAATGTGAACACCTTTGTACCACACATTAGCGTTTATAAGATAGCATCCATCACAGAAGCTTTCTTGAAGAGACTGAAGGGATGCCCCTGATAGCTAACCTGTACTAGCCTCCCTCTCTGGCCCCATCAGTTTTGCTTCAATGAGCTCATGTGTAGAGCAATTGTGGCTACAAAAAGAAAGCTCTGCCCAGGCCTTACCACTTACCCGCCAAGGTTACGTTGCTGCTGCCCTTGCCAGTGTGCAAGCTGCCATCAGCAAAGACCAGCACAAAACCAAAACAAAGCAAAGCGAAACAAGCAAATAAAAACAAAGACCAGCACAGAGTCCTTAGCATGGCTTTATCTCTTAAGGAGACCGATGAGCCAAAAGCTATCATGTCAATTACAATGACATTCTAGAGAGGGAAGAAATTCCATCTTATGGGAATTTTACTTTATTCTGGTATGGCTTTGCCTTTCTTAATAAAAAGTTTAAGGCAGCTCTACCATCTGCAGGCTCACAGGACCCTCTAAACACTTCATTGGACTAAAGACACCCCTTCATGGCAAAGGACATGTCACTAGAGGCACATGACCAGGAAATTCTGGTCCTGCCCCATATCATACTGTGCAGAAGCCATTGAGTGATAAGTTACGGACTAGCCTTCAACATGCAGCTGAGAGCTGTCCTCTGAGATGAAGGATATCTAGCATACACCCCCTTGTGGTGCCACACCTCCAGTGTGTGGAACACAGTGGATCAGGAAGTAAGGGCTGGGAACCAAAAGTGTTACCCTGATCGTGCCTGTCAGTGATCTACCTGGGAATGTGCGCTCTCTATTTACACAGCTTATGGATGTATAGGCCCTGATTTCCATCAGGAGAACACTTCTACGAGAAAACCAACCCAGAGTTCTAACAAACTTCAAGCCACAGCAGCCACCTGACTACTTCACAGTTCATTTGCTAAGTCACTGGCAGCAAGGCAGAGTCATCAGGAGCACGGAGTGCTGGGATGATACAATAGAGTCCGTCAATGGGAAGGATGCAGTTGGGACCCATGTGGCTCACTGGATCACCTTTTGGTACCCTGTTGCCATAACCATCAGTTTCAGTAGTCATGGCTTTACAAGGCATACAATCAGGACCTTGTACCCTCAGGGATGGGCATCTATGCCACCCTGGAGGTGCTGATCTGAGGGTAGGGAATGTAGAACAGACAGTAGAGAAGGGAGAGCCAGCGAGAATCACTTGTCATCCCAAGACCCACTACTACAGTAGGAATCATGGCTCACTCTCACCTTCCATTTGTACATTCCTCTGGTTCTTTTCCTGTTCTAGGGAGGAAATAACTGTAGGCAGTGGAAAAGTAGGCTGCAGTGGACACAGGTCATGCAGATCCCTTGTCTAAGACTGCAGCACTTGCTTCCCCTGCCGCTGGCTTTGTGAGCAGCTGGTGACTTTCTGCTTAGTCTCTGTCCAGGAAATGCCTGCTAAAGAGGACAGCTTCATTCAGGCCCTGCCTCCTCCAGTGGCCAGGGAAGCTCACCTCTCAGGACTGGTCCAGGCACAGGGATATAAAACCCATCCTTCCTACCCCATGCAGAACAACTCTTTCTTCTTCTTCTTCTTCTTCTTCTTCTTCTTCTTCTTCTTCTTCTTCTTCTTCTTCTTCTTCTTCTTCTTCTTCTTCTTCTTCTTCTTCTTCTTTTTTGTGGTACTGGG